CCCCAAAACCCCAAAACCCCAAAACCCCAAAACCCCAGGATTTTATAGTATTTTGAAAGAGTATTAATATGGAGAAGTATAAGAAAATAGCATCACTTGGGGAAGGAAACTTTGGAAAAGTCATCCATGTGCAGGATGTAAAGACACATCAGGAGTTTGCCATGAAGATTTGAAGGTAATTTAGAGAGTTTGATGGTTTAGAATTGATAAAATGCCGAAAGATCAAGTCACATCTTCTCTCAATGAAGTCAAAATTCTGAAGATGATGAAGCATCCTTATATTATTGGGTATAGAGAAGCTTTTATTCAAAAGGAAAAATATCTCTGTATTGTTATGGACCTTGCAAAGGGAGGAGATCTCTTTTCATTCATTAATAGACAAAAAGAAGTCAATAAGCTTATCCCTGAAAATATTATCATGGACTGGTTTATACAAATGGCATTAGGAATCAAACATATACATGATAAGAAGGTGCTCCATAGAGACCTTAAAACTCAGAATATATTCATTGGAGAAAATAGAGAAATCAGACTCGGCGATTTTGGAGTCTCTAAACTTCTTGTTCATTCATATGACAATGCTGAGACAGGAATTGGAACTCCGTACTATTTATCACCAGAGATATGCAGAGGAGTGCCTTACAATTCCAAGTCTGATGTTTGGGCTCTAGGATGCATTCTCTATGAGCTCACTACTCTAGATCATGCATTTGACTCAAAAGATTTCAGTGGGTTGATTATAAAAATTTTGAGAGGAAAATATAAGCAAATTCCTTCGATATATTCTAAGAATTTATCAAATCTGATTTGTAAAATGCTTGATAAAGATCCCAAAACCAGGCCTTCAATTGGAAAGATTTTAGAATTACCTTTCCTAGCTGAAAGAATGAGAGATATCATGTCTGATGCAACTCTGGTGCCTAAATTTAGTGATACTTTTAAGTTCAGAAATCTCAAATATTTTTCTCAAGAAGAATCGAAAGATCTTCAAATAGAACCCCCTGCAGAAATCAAACAAAATAAGAAAAGAAAATCATCGATTTCAAAAAGACAGATTAGGAACTACATCAAGAGTAAGAAACTCAGTAGACGTAACTATATCTCTAAGAAAGAGACCGAGCAAGATGATGCTTTAAAGAAGCATGAAGAACCTGAGGAAGTAGATAACGAAGATGAAGAGGAAGGAGAAGGAGAAGGAAATAAAGAGGTTATTATTCAACAATTTCTCAAAAATGTTCCTGGCACCACCTCCAGTGATTCCATGAGCTACAGAATAGAAGCTTTAAGAGTACATTTGGAAGTCAAGCTAGGAGAAACTGACTTCATATCTGCATATAGACTATACTCAAATCTTGATGACGAGGAAGAAAGTGTGCAAAAGCAAATCTATGAAATTTTAGGAACTGAGAAAATGAAGTTCTACCCATTACTTTGTCAGCTTATTGTCTGTAGTGATTTCTTCTACAGAGCTAAATAATTTCTGATGTTATTCTAACCAACAATAATTTAAATTTATTGTTTCAAGTTTAAATCACCTTCCAGGGGTTTTGGGGTTTTGGGGTTTTGGGGTTTTGGGGTTTTGGGG